TGGCACCGTGGGTTAACACACCACCGCTATGAGCTCGTGTTTCATGTGAGCTGCTCTGAGTGTGTGAGCTGAGAGGTCATATGTTGGGGAGGGGAGTGAGACATTTCTAGACAAAGTGGGAGATGCATCACGGAGGAGAGTGAGAGGTGCTCGTCTCCCAGGCCAGAGCTGGAGGCAAGGTGAAGGAGATCAGAATGAAGCAATACAACATGGGTGCACTGAGGCAGCTTTTTTTTATTTTTTATTTTTTGCTTTTGGCATAAACAACACACCCGAAGAAGTAACGAGTTGCTTTGCTACAGTGCATTATTTGAGTAGTGTGATGAAGCAAATGGTAACAAATTTGAGCTACATGCACTATTATAAACATGTGCTCTGACAACGTACAAGAAATACACTAATGAAAGACTTTTTTTCCTCTCATTTGCCTCTTCTTTGTTTTTCTTCTCTGTTATTTATTTTCTGTGGTCTCATCATTCACTTTACTTCCCCATTGGCATTAGCCACCCTGTTTCCAAAAAACCTAAATAAAAAATAGCCAAAGCTAAAGACAGGACCCATGCTGCGCTCTGTGTCTCTGCAGAGCCCAATTCCAATTGCTTTCTGATAAACCTTTAATTCCCCTGTGGGGTTGTTTTGGTATCCTTTCAAGGATTTGTTGGGAACTTGTTTGACTTGGTTTCATTTCCTCAAAACAAAGCTCATCTGGTTTTTCCACTCAGACTTGTGTGTGGCATTAGGTCTTCGTTTTCATTAATGTTGGAGGGGCAGCACGGGAATCTCATTTTAATTTGACATTTAAACATCTGTTTTCAATTTCCCAAGGAAAAAAAAAAGGACTGCCTGTGCGTGAGTGTGCGCATGGGGGGGACAGCGGATAACTTGCATGGGTGATGAACCTGTGGGGTTTTTCGGAACTGGGGGCAGCCAGCCCAGCTGACCTTTTTTAAGGAAGGGTTTTGGATTTAAGAAATGATGGCAGCAAATTGCTTCAGCTTGCTACTGTAGACCCTGGGAGCAATTTATATTGCAGTACATTGGAGCATGGTGGGATGGAAATTGGCAGTGTCCAACAGATGTTTGAGACTATGACCTAAACCTCTGCTTTGATAAATATGGTTGTCTACAGAGGTTCAGCTGTTTTGTAGTAGCAAATGGTTCTGTTCCGATACAAAGTAATGAGGAAATTCAGTCTCTTTACTGTGATGTTCTACATTAATATATAGAGTGTGTCAAGGGCCTCCATGTCCCATCCCATCATCGGTTTTAAGCAAATTCAGGATGGACAAAGACAACTTTTTGCTAAAACCAGTGATTTTGGCCCATTTCCACATATTAGGCTACAAAGTGAAAATCTTTCTTCAAACACACAAGTGCACTCACACAACCACACACACACACACACACACTGAGTTTGGTCTTCCTGTTAATAGCCCAGGAAATATTATCTGCTAGGGGACAGCTGCAGGCTCGTGAGAGAGACAGAATAGTGGAGTAAGCTCATTATCCCAAACACAGATACAGACCACGCCACACACTTCTAGCACAGTACACGCCGTGAGAGCACACACACACACACACACACACACACACACACACACACACACACACACACACAC